CACGTTAAGCAGCGCGCGCCAATGTGTCAGTAAACAATTGCAATAAATCAAAGCTTGTCAGCGATTCTCACGAGTGTTCGGCGGCAACAAACGACAACAGCGCAAATTCGGGCTCACCTGTCGCACTGTTGCGGCACTAGTGCGCTTGTGTGTGTTGCGGCGCGCGGATATGTGTCATTTTGTGGCGTGAACGTGTTAAAAATTAATTTGCATAAATAGCAAATATTTCGTGTTGACAGAGTAAATATTTGCCAGCATATGCAGGTGGCAACGCCAAAAATCGTGTAATAAATTATAGCGCCACACATTTGTTGAAAATTGCAATTTTCAGCGCATACTTAATGCGAAATTTATGCATTTATTTATTTATTTGTGCTTAATGAAAATAAAAACAAAAACAAATTGCAGAAAAATAATTAAAAAACAACAACGCAGTAATTGATTAATAGCGGTGACAAATTAACAAATGCATAACCGCAAAAATAAGTGCATACAAGTGTGTCTATGAGCTTGTGGCAGCCGTGTAGATGAAAAACCGACCACAGCGCCTGTGCCTATGCAACACATTGTGGCTGTCTAGCATTTGCAGCGCTTAAGAAGTGAGTAGGCACAAGAATAAGAGCATTTAAGCCAAACTGAGTGCCGGAAATAAAGTAAATTACAAAGCGAGTAAGAAAAGACAGGAAATTCGTGGAAGCGCCGCCCATAAAAATGCACAACAGCAGCGCGTAGAAAGTAGAGAAATAATATTTTATAAAAGCGTAAAATTAAATAAGAAAGCCACTTAGCTTAAGCTGCTTGGTTTTTGTTCCGAATGCAAAGGCGGCTGCGTCACGGCGGAAGTGCCAACACAAAGCGAGTATAAAACAAGTATTAAATTGACGTTAAAAAAGTGCGCTCTGCAGTGCACACATAAAAGAAGCAACCAAAACAAAGAAGCGGTACGTTAATAAAGCACACAAAATAAATTAACAATAACCAACAACAACAACAATTGCACACTAGCGCTCAAGTGTGCCCATTTTCATAACAATGCGCATAATTTCGCATAGCATACGTTGCGGCGCGCAAGCTTATGCCGCCAACGCGGCACATACAATTAACAAAAACAGCGCTACACAGCCCACCATAAGCGCTACCACCACCGCTGCTACCACCGTTACGAAACAGACATCTACTCAAGCCACCGAAATATTTGCAAACACTGCGCCACAGCAGCAACGCAGCGTCAGCGTATTGTCCGTTAACGCGTCACCATTAGCTGTGTCAGAATTGGCTTGCGCCACCACGTTGCAGGCAGTTGCGTCGCCAACAGTTACGTCAGCAGCCACACGGCAATCGCAAATGCAGTCACAGTCGCACAACACGCTATCAACTACAGCATTGCCACGTCGCTCCTACGCGGCACAATTCAGAATGAATTGCCCCATTTTAATTGTAATTAGCCTCGCTTGTATCCTGCATGCCGGTATGCTGTGGCATGGTGCAGGTGCAGCAATTTCAAATCGAGGTAAGTGCCGAACACTTATGCCAGTGATAGCGTACGTAGGTCAAAAAAATTTAATTAAAAATAAAAATAAGAAAATAAGTAAATAAGTGGTAGCAGATAAAAGAAAGAAAGAAAAAAAAAGATTAAAATTAATATAAAATGTTAATTTCGGTTGCATCGATACTATAATACACTTCACAAATATAAAAGATTCCTTAAATGTACTTGATTTTGATCGGTCCGTTTATATGGCAGCTATATGCTATAGTGACGCGATCTGAACAATTTGATCAGACGGACGGACAGTCAGATGGGCATAGCCAAATCAATTCAGCTCATCACGATGATCATTTACATAAATACTTTAGAAAATCTCTGACGTTTTCTTCTGGGTGTTACAAACTTCGTGACACATTTCAGAGTATGAAAAATTTTAAAAATTTTAAAAAAATATAAAAATATGCTTACAAAGCAAAAAAAAAAGCCAAGGAAAAGAGATAAAAACAGTAAGCAAAAGAAAAAAGATGAAAAAGGAATCAGCGTAAAATCCTCAGACAGCGCCTTGAGGTATGCAATGCATTTGAATGCACTCACAAAATTGCCATTATTTATACGGATTTATGTGCATACGCGCACGAATGCTGAAATTTCCATGCAAATTCAGCACATTAGTTGTAGCAGTGCTACATTTTTAAAGATTTTATTATTTTTTGCTACTTTTCGCTTATACTGAACACACATACACCCTTGCTATGTTTACTTTGCGACTACAACGCGTGAGAAATGAAATGAGACAGTTGCTAAAATCGCATAAAACACGCTTTTCAATGCTTTCTTAAGTGTCTTCATTTATGAAACCACAAAATAAACCAAGAAAAGCGAAAAACGTTTAAACAAATGTATTAAAATGAGTGTTTAAATGTGTGCGGCTCTGCAAATAGTACACTGCAATGCCACTCTGCCATATATGTGAATTAGTGAGAGCGCTCAGAGTATTACATATATATATATGCCTAGATATATTGCATAAATCCGCTCCATTTAGGCGTCAGCTTCCACATTTTTCCTTTTACTTCCTGCCTTACTTTATCCAATTCAACCTTCAGCGCTGCCATTGCTTCGCACCCCTACAATCACATACACGCACACTTTCATATAAATTTTTCGCATTTTTTTACCCCACACCAGCTTCGTTTTGCAGTTTCCTTTGTTTACACCCGTAAATGCTTAAATACTAGTCGTCGAAATAGGTTGCGTAAGCCGGTGGGAACGCCGCCGGTTCACTCCGCCGTACATCCGCTCGGCATACCAAGTAGCTGCAAGTCGCGGCTGCTAGCTTCTAAAACGCATTTACACAAATACCCTGCTATGCACACAGTTACACGCGCGACCACAATGCGCGTGGAAAACACCAAAAACCACTCGAAAGTTCAAATCCCGCTTCGACGCTACTGTGTGGCGCATACACTTGAAAATTATTCATACAATTTTACCATTTCTACTCAGTCGAATGTACTAAATAAAGGTTTTAAATTTCAAAGTTTCGGGGTAAAACTAACTGTGAATCTACGCTATACTTTTAGTGGTTCTCATCTGATAACTCACATAATTGCTTATAGCGGTATACTTATACAAAATATTGGTAAATTTCGAAAATAAGTACCCAGTTTGCCTCATAATAAAACAATTTGCTATAATATGGATAGAAAATGCTATGTTTATTCGATTTTAATGCTCAGGTTATAGAAAATAAAAGTAACTTTCGAACAGATGTACTCGTGTTGCCACATAATCCCAAAACCTCATATTACTCTTAATCTTGACTAGCAGTTATCATAAAATTTTGCCGTTTCATCTATAGTCTATAGAAAATAATAAGGTACAATACTTCGGTAAGTCTCATTTAGTTTACGGGATTACTTTTGTGCTTAGATCCATCCGCTAACAAAGTTTTTCTAGATTGTGATTACCAAGTGTCAGACTAAGCTAAAGCCATTGTTATTTATTTATTGAGTAGTCACACACACAAATTTCAAGTGTTTAGTCTTTGGTAGTCTTCACTTTCCGAAAAAAACGGTTGTTAGGCATAAATAATCTTTTCGACAACATCGAAAATCTAGTTTCCTTGATAAAATATTAGAATAGAACTGTACACATATCCCGCGTTTTGGCATTTTATATGGAGAATTGTAGTTCTTTGCAGTCAAGTGCGTTTCAGTGATGGAGTCCTATATTCAAATCAGGTTTTATAAATTTTTGTGAAAAAATCAGATCACAGAATATAAGTTGAATTCTGTGTATATTTCTGCCGCAGGAAAAGCTTCTCCTTAACTCTTCAACATGGCAAAAATCCCTTGTTGAACCCTCCAGGAAGGTGCCGACTGGTAATATGGTAGATACCACAGTATCCTGGCAGCGATGGATTGAGTAGCACAGCTAAAAGACGAGAGGTGAGTTAAAGAGGCTAATCCGCTAGCCAAAAGACCGAGGACAAAGGGTGTGACATCCGCTAAATCGTTTGCTGTTGAAAGTTTCCAGATCACAGGCCAAGGGCCAAGATTTGTCAACAGAAGAGTGAAAATTCCTTAAGGTTTTGGAGAACCCCGCATCAGAATCTGGTGGAATTTTCATTAATCATTACGAAGTGTGCACATTCGCCTTCAAATTGCAGTCGATCGGGCCTTCTGACAGACTTGTCTACTTAACCGAAACAAGTCGGCACTTTTATTTGACAAATGACCTTCAATTCAACAGCGTTTATTAATATTATGTGGTGAGTCTACCTGCTGCTACAATAACAACGTTCCACTTATTAGTCCTGAACTTTTGGTGAACAAATAAGATCTGTTCCTATTATGACGTAATTTAGAAAACTCAACACTTCAGTACTTGCCAATGCTCTAATTAAGAAAATCCACTTCATTCACTAAAAGAAGATTGGACTACTAAAGTGTTCCAAACCTAAAATAATGACGTGGAATTAGATATATGGTCTCACTACTCATGCTATATGTACTCGACTTACCTCACTATTTTGATTATGAATTAAAAATAATTAACTAAATGTTTCAATTGTTTTCTCTATAATCACATCAAAGTTTCTCCAGGTGCAGTTGCACTCCAAATATGCCTCACTCGCAGTCGTAGGAATCTAAACTGCGACCACAGCACAGCAGCAACCGTGAGCTGCAAATGGCAACAATTAAGCGGGCAACATTAACTCAATGCGCCACCGCAACGCACTCAGAAACAAATTTTAGACTGAAAGGTTTGTTCCAAGTATGTATTTGAGTTGAAGGTAGCTTAAACCGACAACGCGTCCACATGCGGTTGCTATTTGTTACTATTATAGGGATACTACAGGAATAGTGCTGTGCTATGCTCTGCTTTACAGTGCTATGTTGTGCTGTGCTATACTATACTATGCTATGTTATCCTCTGCTATGTTATGTCGAGCAGTACTAAGCTATCTTAGCGACATTATGCAACATTCGCGTAAATATTAACTCTTGCAGAAATACATACATAGTAAAATAGGACAAAAGGCGTGCGCCATGCTTCAAAGTAAATACTTTTAGCCTCACAGGTAAATTACATTGCGGAAATGAGCTTAAATACCGCCACATTTTGAAGCAATCTATTTTCTCTTTTCGTTTTGTTGCGCATTCACTTTCAAAAGCAACAATTTTCCAAAGCTTGCATTAATACCTGCCACAACTACATTAAAAGCTGTACGTATGTATTTTTAGCAGCACTTTACCGCGCCTCTAGTTAAATGCGAAAGCTCCTGTGCGCATACGCAGATCACTCACTTCCGCCGGCACGTACGCGCTGCATCTGTGCGGCTTTATTTTTTATGCATTACGCACATTACGTCGGCTTTTTACTTTTTCCTCTCTTTTCACGATATTCTTAAAAGTAGTTTGTGTTCTCGTTCTCGTTTTCTTCGCCGCACCTCGCTATGCACGAATCAGTGTGTTGGACTACGTGCGGTGGCTGGCTGTTGTTTAACTTTTAACTTGACACGAATGCATGCAAGCGCCGCACAAACTTATTCGTGTGCGCCAAGACCCCAGAAAGTAAATATGAAAACGACTACAGCAAGTAGGAGACAATTAAAAAGTTATCTGTGTGGCAACGCGTGGAAATATACTTAAATTCTTGCGAAAAGAAAACCGTGTGTGTCTGTCGTTGCATTGCAGCCGCTTACCTTTATTACCGTTGTTTTCGTTTTTTAGGTTACTAGCATGCGTTTGCCGAAGTGCAGGAAGTTTTATGTTGATCTACTTAAAACTCGAGTTTATTATTTTGCATTAGCTTAAGCGTTTTCCAGAAATAAGTGTGTCAATATGTATTTACTTGCCTCTATATGTTAGATCTGAATAATCTGCAAAGCTTTATTTAAAATTACAAGTATTTTACCGTACACCCTGTGGCACCTTATGGTCGCTGGAGGCTAAAGGTTTTTCTATCGAGACTTCTTATTTTAGCAATTGATTGTATGGAAGATTTTTGGCGTAATCGGTAGAAGTGATCCGTTCCGAAAGACAGTCAGTCCATGTGTTTATGATTTTCTTTAAATTTGAATTGGAAACTAATTGGATATTAGAACGGCTTCAGAAACTTGAATCTATCTTGCAACGACATTCCATTTCTTCTTTGTATTGTACTATATGTAGAACGGTAGAAAACTTTCCACATGTTATAAATTAAAACTAGCTTTCATAATCCAACTTTCAAAGCTTTGAAAGCTTCCAGATAAACTTCGTCCATTTTGACTGATATATTTCTGACTCATTGCCCTAACGCATGGAGCAATGTCCCAGCAAAGAGTTTAACAATTTTATAACCACACGTTTATGCGGTTCCAATATACGATGCTGTGGAGGGTCATGAAGCCGCATACGTAGTCGCAAATCAGGCTGTTAATATGGCTTTGTGAGGGCAGGATCTTATTCTGAACCGAATTAAAGCTTTGTAAGATAAATTTGAAATGAGTGGATAGCTATTAGCTGTGGTAT